TTTATCTAGAATCATCCATATACAAGTATGAATAGGAGCAGTTTTCGGCATTTGTAACTAAGCCAAAAATCAAGAAAACCGTTCTTTCCTAAACAAGTTCTCCTATATGAAAACTCTCTTCTTTTTTCAAGATTCTCTTCTTTAGTTGAATCCTCCAATCTTGGTTAATGATCTTGGGCTAGTAAAAGTTATCCAATAATACTTTTCTTCTGCTATTCTTTACATGGTATCTGAGCCATAGTTGGCTTCTAGATATATTTGCAAGGTCGGGTTAGTGGTTGATTCAAATAGTTTCTCTAAATGGATTTGGTGGTCGTGCTAATGGACTGGGGATGGAGTTATTGAATCAGTCTAACTACAAGGTATGGAAGACTTGTATGGAGTCATACTTGATGAGGATTTGTGGGAGTTGTCAATGGGATTAACACAAATCCTCATGCTGATGCACCGAAAAATAGCAATGCGCGTAAGAAGTAGAAGCAGATTAATGATAAGGCGGAGTTTATCCTGAAGGGTTTTATCTCCCCTAATTTATTTGATCATATAATAAGGTGTAAATTATGTCATGAAATATGGAGGACCTCGATCGGTTGTTTAACAAGAAAGACGAAACTTGACTACAGAGAGAATGAATTGATTAATTATTCCATAGATTAATGAACAAGAAAGATGAAACTATGCATAGATTAACTATTCCATGTTGAGAATGGTATAAAATTGTGCCAAAGTTGGCGTATAACTTTGTACAAGGATTAACCAACATGGATAGAAAATATATATCAAACATGGAATAACTATAACAACTCCCTTATACCATGATTATTTCTTCTTATACACCATACCAAACTGACCCCTACCTGTAAGCCTAGAAATCAAAATGTTGAATCAAGTCAAACTTGGTTATCTTAGGCCACTATTAAGGAACTAGGTGTTTCAATTTCAACCCGAACCAATCATTCTCGCAAGTTATAAAATAGTAAAAGCATATACGGGAGTCTTAATTAGAGGAACGGGGATCTAAAAAGCAAAACGACCGATCGGGTCACTACACCTATATAAATATATGGTCCCATTAATATTATAAATTAATAATTCTTTAAAATTATAAAAATATCTAAGACAATTTTGTAAAATATAATTCTAGTATTTTTGTTTTTTATTAAAATTTAAATCTAGTTGAAGCTCATCTCTAACTTTTCATATTGCAGCCAAAAGTTCTGGTGTTGTCTTCTCGAACTGCACCAAAAAATTGGGAACATTTCTAGACGTGATAAGTACTTCCTTACGCGTAACTGGTTCCAAAGGTATTGTATCGTCTTCAACTTCGTCATCAATATTGTTTTCTCCGATGGTATCCATAATTTCTTCTAAGCTCTGGACCTCTGAACATGTATCATTTTCATCCGGATAATTCAACAGGCTTGACATCCATTTTATTGCTATAACCAAAATGATTAATCATGACCTCAAGTTCATTAATCTGTCATTGTTGATTTTGTGACACTTTTAGATGAGAAGCCATTGTTGGGTAAGTTTGAAGAAATTCTCTACGTTGCTTATATAGTTATTCTCTCACCGTCATACATTGAATAATTTTATTAAAAATACAATGACTAATATTTGATTATTAAGAACAATAAACATTACAATAATTTATTAAGTACAATGAATAAATAATACAATGAATTATTTAACAAAAAATATTACAATGAATCATACATCATACATTGTACATTATGTATAATTTATTTATTTTTTATATTAATTCAATAAATATGATACATAAATTAGTAAGATACAATGATTTTGATGTAATCAAAATTAATCTTTATTGAATCTCGAAAATATTTTTTAAATTAATAATTAATTTATCAATTAAATAATACTTATACAAAATAATAATATTTTATGGTCCCGATAATATTAATTTGGAGGGGTTCTACTGTAATTAGTTTTATATAATTTAATTATCTTAGTAATAATAAAAAAATAAAAATATATAGAAAGATTTTTTATGAAAAATTGTGGTTCATTCTCTCGTTATATACAAATACAAATACAAATGCAAATACTTCTAAATACTATTATTAGATATAACTTATCCCAATGTTCATATTTATTCTACTCTCCAACTCAACTTTAAATTTTAAACTGCTATCCAATGACACTTAATAATTGCATGTAAGATATATAAAGTTTAATAATATGTATATAAGTTTTTAAATGATATAGGGTACACGCGCAAAACGCGTACCGTAAGACTAGTATAGTAAATAACCATCAAGTATTAATAATAAATATAAGGCCAAATACATATACAACTCATCCAACTTGGCACCATTTTTTATTTTGGCACTCTATTTCTACCTTGTTCCGTTTTGGCCCTCCAACTCTATTTTATATGCTCAATTTTGGCCCTCCAATTCTATTTCTTATGTTCCACTTTAACACAAAGGCTGAAATCAATGCAAAAATATTGCGCGGGTGTATACACAAATCTAAGGTGTAATAAATATCCAATTAAATGTTGCCACCTGGTTTTTTCATCCATGTCAAACGGGTAAATACTAAAATACTTGAACTCGGCCGTATTTTTTGTGGATTTATTTCATCTAAACGGGCCAGGTATGAAATCGGAAGATGAAAGCTTTGGAACATAGAGAATGAAGATGGGGCAACAGTGGATGAAAAAAATAATCGGGTTCAGGTATTTTAGTATTGACCCGTTTGACATGAATGAAAAAACCATGTGGCAATATTTAATTGAATATTTATTACACCTCAGATTTGGGTATACACACACGCTATATTTTTGTACTTGTTTCAGCTTTTGTGTTAAAGTGGAACATAAGAAATAGAGTTGGAGGGCCAAAATGGAACAAGGTAGAGATAAAAGTGCAAAAATAAAAAATGGTGCCAAGTTAGATGGGTTGTATATGTATTTAGCCTAAATATAATTTTAATTGCCGAATCTTATTCTATAAGTATATTATTTTGTGTTGCAATTGGATCATTTTGTCAATAAACATGTTTGTCTTAGAGATTGGCTGGGCGACTTTTAAATTTTTGTATGGGGATCTTTTGCAAATACCCACCCACCACAAACTATTTACCCATTGTTTATTTTAAAATTTGAGTAACAATTAAACTTATATTGTGATTTTAAAGATATGCGATTTAATCTAATACCAATTGATAAACAAGGAATTAAACAGATAAATTGGAGAATGAAATAAGTCAAACCAGTACACAAGCTAAATATCGACCTTGACCTATGACAGTCTCGAGGTGGGATAGCAAATTATAAGACAACTCTGATGAACAGTAAGCAAGAAAGTGATGAACATATATTTCTTATCAATGAACCGTCCATTAGAGATGAATGAGCTCCCCTTTATATAATAGGGAATCCTAAATAAGTTACACTTCTAATTATAGTAGGAAATTATATTGGACAACTGTCTAACCGCCAAGGACCAACCCGTTCCGAAATTTACACTGTGATCTTTGGGCCATTATGGGTATCTCGCTCTTTCTCTTAGTAAATTATAACGGTATTATCTCGAAGTAGGCCTTCTTCCGACCTCAAAAAATGATATGTACCTCAACCTCGATATTGGAAAGGAGCTTCGACCCGATCTCGGTGTCCTGGCCTCCCGATGTGGTATCACTTTTTCCATCGAAGAACGAAATTGGGTAGTCCCGATTTCCACCATATACAGATAGTCCCATCATTTCTTAGAATAAAATAACAAGAAACGACTTGAACCTCGATTTTTGGAGGCCCTGATGATGATGTCATCCCCATGACGTAAGCACTTGAGGTGACCGAAACGTCCCATCGGTTCATTTATCCAAAACATTAAATGTTTGCCAGTGGCGGTCGGCCACTAGTGCCGCCGAACTGTCACCGTGCGCCTATAAATACAGGGTTTCTATTTGAATCAAATATTTTGCTTCCACCTTCAAAATTCTTGATCTCTCCCTCTCTCCATCTCTTCTCTTTCTCTGCCTATTGATCCAACCCTTTTAGCACCAAAAAATATAAGACTCCACCTCTTTCTGCTTCCTCCAACCTGAACCAATGGCAAAAACCTCCAAAACAATTCCTCAAAAGGAGAAAGCTTCCTCCTCTTCTTCCCGACAGGACGGTGATAAAGCGTCGGCCCTTCACGAGTTTGTTCCTAGCCCCTGTGTTACAAAGAATGACTTCAAAGTCGAGAATCCCCCATCCATCCCTAGCCGATGTGAGCACATGTCGAGATATTTTTGTTCGATAACGGAGAAACACCTCAAGGCTATAAGGAGGGATTGTGGCTAGGGAGATGAGGTTGTGGTACAGATCCCTGCTCCCAAGGAGAGTATCACCACTTATGTAGAGGTGTTCCTAAGTGTCTACAATTACCCCTTCACACTGGGTCCCATCGATCTAGTCATCATTGATTTCTGCAAGAGGTACCAGGTCACTCTTGGCTAGATTTACCCCTCGTTCTGGCGTATAGTGATCATGCTCCGTTTCTTTTACAGCAAGGCCGAGGGGTTGGAGTTCACCCTCAACCATCTCATTCGATTATATCGACCTCGGCTTTTTCGAGGGTTGATCAAGCTCTAACGCTAGGCGACCAAGGCCTTTTTTGCTAGCAAGGATGAGGATAAAGATCGGGGTTGGATGAGCTGGTTCGTGCGATTGAGGACCTGCGACATCATCCTATAGGAGAAAGTGCCATTCCCGGAGAAGTGGAACCTCGAATATAAGTGAAGTTTTTACCCATTAGCCTTCGTACTCCGTTTTTTGCATTATGTAATGCTTTCATCTATTTCGTAGCGGTCACTTGGATGCCTCATGCGGTCACCGACCACTAAGACCGGGGTCCGTAGACTAGCCTCGACTTCCTCTTATGCCGAGCGCTGCTGGCGTGACTTGGCGAGGGGCATATAGGAAGCTAAACATCATGGTAAATTCATCTTGTAAGCTTTTGACGCTTTCCTCTTTATCGAAGATGCCTCTTTACTCATACTTGATTCTCCTTCATGCAGGCATTGGAGATGTCTCTGAAATGAGGTCGGCCCCGTTTGGGGAAAAGACCGAGTCCCCGATTCCAAAATCAGGGAAAGATAATAAGAGGAAAAAGGTCTCAAAGACCGAGGACTCCCAAGATAAAAAGGCTCCAGCTCGAAAACGCAGGAAAAGTCTCATTCCAGTGGATATAGAATCGTTCAACCAGCTAGATGATGAAGAAGAAGACGAGGGTGAAGACTCGGTGCTGGTAGATCGAGCCAGGAAGCCGCTTGAAGCTGCCAAGCCCTCCGAGCCGGAGACCCTGCCTCGTGATGATGAGGCTTCGAATAAAGATGCGAGCAAAGCCCCTGAATCGCCCGAGGTCGAGATTGTTCCTCGGCCATCAACAAGCACACCGGAAAGGGCAGGTTCCGAGATCCCTAGGGCTGAACAGAGCGCCCCGAGTGATTTGCTTGGGGCCATGACAATAGGTCACTCTCCCTCGATGCCGACTTATTATAAGGAGGCCATAAGGGAGGCTCAGGCTCTGCAAATGCCTGACTTAGGCGGAGTCCCCAGTGAAGAGGATCCCTTCCGGGATTGCTTTACCAGGGTTGATACCGCCGCCGATCTCAACGATGCATCTACCCTTTTCGAAGAGACTCAACGTCTTTTATCTTAAGTAAGTATTAATTCCTATTGTTGCAATTTTCTTTTCCTTCTCCCTTTACCCTAACTTGTATCTTTCTTTCTATGTAGGCTTTCACCAAGTTTAGGGCCGACCTGAGCCAATGTGAGGCCGAGCTCCAGAAGACCTCAGAGGAGAGGAACGCTTTGAAACTCCTTTGCGGTCAAATGGAAAAGGATCTCAGGGACCTCCGGGCAGACTTGGCTAAGGCTCGTAAGGATGAGGCCGAGCTAGATAAGTAGGTAACTATCATTTTGAAAGAGTACGGTTTACTCGACCCAACTATGGAGGCTAACACTTCAGTATCTCAGTTGCAGCAAAAGCTGGAAAGGATCAAGCTGCTCCGAGGGGAAGTCGATCAAATTAAAGCTGACTGTGATCGATGGAAGGAGAACATGGACTGCCTTGTTGCGGAGAAAGAGGCTACTTTGGCCAAACTGGCATAGGCTGAGGCCTAACTTCGGGGAGCTAAAGATAAAAGTTTGGCCCAGTCCAAAAGGATCGACGAGCTCGAGGTCAAGCTTGTTGAGGCCAAGGCAGAGGTCGGGGAGACGAAGATCGTGGCTGACAAAACCATTGCCATATACTTGGACGATGCTGAGGCTACTCAAATGTAGCTAAGGGGGGCCTACGACCTAGAGAGACGGAGCAATGATTTGGCCAAGTGTCAATCCCGGAGGGAGACCCTCGAGGAAATCCACGCTCGAGTTTATGACCTCTCTGAAGAGATAACTCAAGCTAAGGCGCTTGAAGATGATGCCAGATTTCTCGTCTCCTCCTCCTCCGACGATGATGATGATGATGATGATGAAGGCCTCCAAGGCGGGTATGACAATAACGAGGGGCCGAAGGAGAAGCTGCTCTTGAGGGAGAAACCAGCCCCGGGCATAGTTAGGATTTTTTTCTTTTTCTTTTTGTAAGACCTCTGTCGGTCTCTTGTACATATCTTTTTTCAAATATATGAAAGAAAATTTCTCTTGAATACCTTCTCGATCTTTATATATATATTTTTTCCCTTGTAAAATTTTAGCACAATCTTGTGCTTTGAACGTTCAAGACTTTGTCTCGGGTGGCTTCCTCGAAGTTACCATGGTCGAGTTCGAATAAGGTTCGAAATTTGAGGCATAGACCCTTAAGGGTTTGTGTCGGATAATGGTGAGTCCCCAAGCCATAATCAAGTTATTGTTTATTTGGGCTCGGGATAATCGAACCCTTGGGTTTGGATTAAGTGAGAACAAGATCTCGAACTCTAAGTGTATTTGACCTTAGGCTCTTTTAGATTGGGCCATTATGGCCTCTAAAAGATGGTTACTATTCCCCTTTTTGGCTTTAAAATACTTAGTGAAAATTTCTTTATGCCTTAGCATGTATGTTTTACCCATTGGGTTTTCTTAAGGGTTCGATGTCGATTGAAACCCTTATATTTTTTGTGCCTTAGCATGTTTGTGTTAAGATAATTTTGATACCTCTTAAGGTTTTTTAAGGGTTGATTTTATCGAAGCCCTTTTATTATTTGTCGAGGGTATCCTTTTTTAACCGGCTTTTCAAAGAACTCGAAGGCCTATTTTGATTGTGGGGTTCGGACGTCTCTGAGCCGCATTAATTTGGCCATAGCCTTTGGGTATGCCTCTTGGGCTTATTCCCCAATAACACTTCGAACTTGTTCGAGGTGTTAGTTCCCGAGAAAGATTGACTTAGCCTATAGATCGAGGGGAGCCTCTTCAAATTTGGATAACTCGAATATGTTGACTGTCAATGACAGTTCCCGGGTGTTCGAGGTATATTTACGCTTGGCCCTTGAGCAATTTTTCACAAAATCATAAGTATGAAGCTCGTATAATAACAAATTTTCTTTGAGACACAAAGTGTTTGATATAGAAAGAATGCTTCTTTGAATAATTCATACATGTGTACATGTTTTGCCATCGGGGCTCGACTAATCTATATGGACACGGTTCATTCGACCGTTTGGCATGACGTATTTTTCTCGAAAATATAACCCTCAAGGATGATGCCCCCCGGTATTCAAGGTTGATTGAAAATAAGACTTGGATACTGTTTAATTTTCCTCAGGTAGCACATAATTTTTGCCTCGCTAAAAACCTCGCCGGAAAAACCCATTTGGGAAAAAACCGATCTAAGGGAAAAAGAGTGAAACGCGTGCTTTAAAACCTAAGGTTTTCATTTTGAAGCATTTTTTTGACGTGTTCGATTGAACACCTGCAATAAGTTAGTATCAAATACAAATGGAAAAGGGAGAAAGCCATACCTTAACAATAATATCGTTTGAGTAGTGATAATTCCAATTGTTTGGCAATTGTTCGCCCTCCATTGTGCCAAGTTTGTAAGATCCCTTTCTGATGATACCGAGGACTCGATATGGTCCTTCCCAATTTGGGCCTAGTTTCCTTTCGTTTGGGTCTCAAGTATTGAGGGTGACATTCCTTAGAACTAAGTCCCCGATTCTGAAGTGGCGAAGGTTGGCTCTTCTATTGTAATATCTCTTGATTCTTTGCTTCTGTGCAGCCATCCGAAGAAGCGCAGCTTCTCATTTTTCATCCAATAGTTTGAGGCTATTATTCACAGCCTCATGATTTGATTCTTCCATTGCATGTCGAAATCTGGCACTAGGTTCCCCGACCTCGACTAGAATTAAGACCTCGGGGCCATATACTAAGGAGAACGGGGTTGCCCCTGTGCTGGACTTCGATGTCATTCGATATGCCCAAAGGACTTCGGGTAGAACTTCTCTCCATTTCCCCTTAGCATCGTTCAACCTTTTCTTTAAGTTTTGAATGATAGTCTTGTTCGTCGATTCGGCCTGTCCGTTTCCGCTTGGGTGATACAACGTCGATGAGATCCTCTTTATTTTGTATTCTTCGAGGAACTCTGTTGCCTTACTGCCGATGAATTGCTTTCCGTTGTCGCATACAATTTCGGCAGGTATCCCTAATCGACACATGATATAGTCCCAGATGAAGTCTATAACTTCTTTTTCTCTGACCTTCTCGAAGGCCTGTGCTTCAACCCATTTAGAAAAATAGTAAGTCATAAACAAAATGAATTTAGCTTTACCTGGGGCCGTTGGTAGAGGGCCAACGATATCCCTCCCCCATTTCATGAATGTCCATGGGGATAGGACTGAATGAAGTTGCTCTCCGGGCTGTTGGATCATCGGTGCAAACATTTGACATTTATCACATTTTCAAACAAACTCTTTAGTGTCTTTTTCCATGCTATCCCAGTAGTACCCTGCTCTGATGATTTTATGAATCAAAGATTCAACACCGGAGTGGTTCCCACAAGTGCCTTTATGGACCTCTCGTAAAACATAATCGGTGTCCCCCGGCCCTAGACATACCGTTAATGGTATGTCGAATGTCCTTCTGTATAATGCTCCATCTTCATCTAATGTGAATTGAGCAGCTTTGGTCTGAAGGGCCCTCGATTCTTTAGGGTCCAAGGGGAGCTTTCCATTCTTCAAATATTCGATAAATTTATTCCTCCAATCCCGGGTCAAGCTTGTAGAGTTTATTTCGGCATGACCTTCCTCTATTACAGATCTCAATAGTTGGACGATAGTCCCCGGGCTGATCTCGTCTTCCTCGACTGATGACCCAAAATTTGCAAGTGCATCGGCCTTACCGTTTTGTTCTCGAGGTGCATGGTTTAAAGTCCACTCCTTGATGCGATGCAAAGTTACCTGTAGCTTGTCCAAATACCTTTGCATTCTATCCTTTCGGACTTTGAAGCTTTTATTTACTTGGTTCACCATCAATAAAGAGTCATACTTGGCTTCAATGACTTCTGCCCCCAAGCTTTTAGCTAGCTCGAGACCTGCAATCATGGCCTCATACTCGGACTCATTGTTAGTCAACCTAGAAGTTTTTTTAGACTGCCTAATAGTGCTACCTATGGGTGGTTTTAAAACGATGCCTAGCCCGGACCCCTTCACATTAGAAGCACTATCAGTGAAAAGGGTCCATACCCCCGACGATGTGCCCGATTTTAACAAGAGTTCCTTTTCAACTTCGGGCATGAGGATTGGCGTTAAATCGGCCACGAAGTTTGCTAAAATTTGAAACTTGATGGCCGTACGGGGTTGATACTCAATATCGTACCCACTGAGTTCAACGGCCCATTTGGCCAATCGACCCGAAATTTTGGGCTTGTGCAATATATTACGAAGTGGGTAAGTACACACATATATGGTGACATTGAAAGTATGATTTTAACTTTCTAGAAGCGCTTATATGTGCAAGTGATAATTTCTCTAAGTGTGGATATCCAATTTCTACTTCTCCTAAGGTTCGGCTTACATAGTAAACGGGAAATTGTGTACCTTGGTATTCTCGAACTAGGACACTACTTACCGCGATTTTTGATACCGCCAAGTATAAGTAAAGTTTCTCATCTGCCTTCGGAATGTGGAGCAGTGGTGGGCTCGATAAATATTGCTTTAATCCCTCTAATACTTGTTGGCACTCCTGGGTCCAGGTGAAATCGTTCTTCTTTTTTAGTAAATAGAAGAATCTGTGGCTTCGATCCGATGACCTCGAGATAAATCGGCCTGAAGTAGCTATCCGTCCAGTCAGCCTCTGCATGGTTTTTATATTGTCCATGATGGTGATGTCTTCGATGGCCTTGATTTTATCGGGGTTGATCTCGATCCCCCGATTATATACCATGAAGCCTTGGAATTTGCTCGAACCGACTCTGAAAGCACATTTCTCGGGGTTGAGTTTTATGTTATATTTCCTCAAAATCTCGAACGTTTCCTGCAAATAAGCCAAATGGTCCTCTGCGCGCAGGGAGTTAACTAGCATGTTATCAATATAAACTTCCATTGACTTACCTATTTGTTCTTCGAACATCTTATTTAGTATACGTTGGTAAGTAGCTCCTACATTTTTTAGCCCGAAGGGTATTACATAATAATAATATGTTCCATACTTGGTGATAAATAAGGTCTTTCCCTGGTCTCCCGGGTTCATCTAAATTTGATTGTACCTGGAATAGGCAACGAGAAAGGTAAGGATCTCGTGGTCAGCCGTGGCATCGATCATGCGATCAATGTTAGGCAGTGGAAAAGAGTCTTCAGGGCATGTCTTGTTCAAATCCTTGTAATCTACACACATTCTAAGTTTGTTCCCTTTCTTAGGGACTACGACTACATTAGCTAACCATTCTGGATATTTCACCTCCCGACGCCCATCACGAGTCACATGGGCAGCCCCGCCAG